TAAACCTAATAGTTCCCACTAAGGCATCTACTGGTTTCTCAAATTAAACCAAAATGGAGTTCAATAACTATCTATAGTACAAACAGAATATTTGTTAAAATGATTTACAGTTTCAAGTGGTGGATGAGAGAACAGAGGTAGTGTAGTATGCAATATTTGCAAGGGAGGAAGAGAGAATTTAGAAGTAAAAATTCATAAGAAGAGTGGAAGAGGAGCCAACAGAGATTGACTGCTGGTTGGAGAAAAGTTGAAAAGAAAATCCAAGAAAATAGACAAGAGAGAGGAAGAATACAAACAAAGAGAAAAAATCAAAGGCATAAGAATATAACAAAAATACAAAACACCATTCATATATCATTGTCCTCCACACACTGATGCATAAAAAACATCCTGTTCCAAATATGGTAGAGAGATTAACGAATCAAAAAATAAAAAAATAAATAAATCTTGCTGGAAAGTCGAACTATCTCTGTCAGTGTTCAACAGTTTCTCCGCCTTCTCTCTATGTCTCCTGGGATCACCAAATCCAGACAGCCCACACAATCCCAGTCACTATCCCACCAATCTGAACTTCAGATACCTCAGGCTTGACCACACTGCAGTCCCAAGATCTCAATGCTATTCCTACTTGCAGAGAGACCACCAGGGATACACTCATGCAAAGGAGCAATCTTGAGATGTAGCAACAAGACAAGGGCCACTCAGCAGGAAGACCTCAGGCTCCTCCAAACCTGCAGGCACCCCTCATAGTGGACCTGCAGGTCCTAGCTGCAGTCCCCATACAGAGGCTCTTGTGGTGGTAAACCTGCTGGCACCTGGGCCCCAGGTCCTAGCTGGTGTTCCAAAATGGGTGCAGCCATATGCAACCAAACCTGGAGTCTCCCCCGAAGGAGTGCTGTAGGCCATGGTAGCAGCAGTAGTGGCAGTGGTTGTTGGCAGCAGGCAGCGGGTCAGCAGTAGTTGTGGCTGCAGAGGCTGTAGCAGTGGCTGCAAGGGCTGCAGTGGCAGCTACAATTGCAGCTGTAGGGGCAGTCTCAACAGGCGATCTTAGGGGGTCAGCAGTGATGTCGGCTTCAATTGCATCCAGGGCAATGGTCTCTTCTGTGGCAACAGCACCCAGAAAGAAGACCTCCAGGCAACCTCAGGCTGGCAGCAGCGGAATCAGAAGCAGCAGCAATGGCAGTAGTAGGGATTGAACTGGGGATTTATTTATTAGGAACTGGGGATTGAACTCAGGGGCACTCGACCACTGAGCCACATCCTCAGCCCTATTTTGTATTTTGTGTAGAGACAGGGTCTCACTGAGTTGCTTAGCCCCTCACTTTTGCTGAGGCTGGCTTTGAACTCACTATCATGTCTCAGCCTCCTGAGCTGCTGGGATTATTGGCGTGTGCCACCACATCTGATGAGGACTTGAACTGATGCTAGTGCATGATTGCATTAGGAGTCTACGTGACACTGGGTTTTTAAGAGGAAAAGCTTAACTCTCCTTCACCCAATGTTGGACCACTCTCTCCATACCAACACAAATCCCCTCTCATCTTTGCTTTCCCCATTTGCCCAGTTTAGACGATGTCCTCCATCTTTCCCATCATTTAAACAGTGGAAAAGACAGAGGTGTCAAACTCCTACTAGTGTTTGAGGCCATCCTCTTTGTTGCCCGCTTGCATCCTGGCTGTTTTTTCTATGTGTCTATTCATGTTCTGCTTCTCTTAAAAGTTATATTATTCAAACGTCTTTCTGTTATAGACACTTCTCTAATTTCATACCTTCTCTAGGCTACCTCATTTACTTTCATTTATTTAGTACCCAGTTGACTTACAACATAAAAATTAAAGCAACAACAACAACTAGCCAATGGACTTGGCAGTAACTCCCAACATTGTATCCTTGGCTCCATGTCTTTTCAATTCCAGACCTTATACTCAAGTTCTGTTTATCACTATCATTTGCCTGATTCACCGGGACTTTAAAACTTAGTAAGTTCACACAGCATTTGTGATCTAAATCCTTTTTCTTGTGTTTCCTGTTTTTACTGAATGGGATACTGCCTGCAACAGTTGCTCAAGCCAGAAATTCAAGAGTTATTCTGGTACCTCCCTCTCTCTTTATTTCCTCTTCCAACCAACTCATGACTAAATCCTTTTGATGATGTGAGCTTCAATAGCTCTTCAATCTATACATGTTCCATTTCTTCTACTAGGTCTTGAATTCAGTTATTTCTTACATGAAATACTGCCCTGGTTGCCTAACTGATGTCCCTGCATTCTCACTTGCCTTCTTCTGACTGGTTGTTCACAGAACAGCTAGAATGGTCTTTTCAGACAAAAATGATCATGATATTCCTCTTCTTAAAAATTATTCCACAGATCTCATTGTCTTTAGGCTGAAGTCCATACTTAGCTCTGTGTGACCTGAGTCAACTTCTCTAGTTTTTTCCCCACCAATTCCCATTGTTGTCTTTTTGTTGAATGTTCAAGATCCTAGGTTCCATCCCCAGCACCACAAAGATAAATAAATAAATAATAAAAAAGATTATTTTAAAAAGTAGAAATTGGAAAAAAATTTCTTCTTGAAAAGGTTTTATTAAGAGAACCATTTTGTACTTTTGATTTGGAACCTTTATAATTTTGTACTATGGAAATTGAGTGTCATAATGGGAGAGACAGATAGCCGGGCTGATAAGATTGAATGAGATGTTTGCCTTGGCCTCCTGTGTCAGTGTCTAAAATTTGAACTGATTGCTTTAGGGCTCTGTGTTCAGAAACAAAGACTTCTGAATTCACCCTCAAGGAGATAGGGTTTGATGAGTCTCACTAGAGCTTCATTTAAACTGTTTATCATGTTTTTATCTTTTTTTTTTTTTTAATTCGGTCCCTGGATTGAATCCAGGGGCACTTAACCACTGAGCCACATCCTCAGTGCTTTTTCATATTTTGTTTAGAGACAGGGTTTTTCTGGGTTGCTTAAGGCATCACTGAGTTGCTGAGGCTGGCTTTGGACTTGAGATTCTCCTGTCTCAAGCTGTGGGGATTACAGTCATGCAACACTGAGCCCAGCCTTGTTTTTATCTTTCAATGTTGTTACTTATTCTTTATTGTTATCACACTTAATACAGCGGCTATGTTCAGAGATCTTTTGAAGGCATTTATAAAAGATAACTATTGTGTTGCCGCAATGTAATAACCTTTGAAGAATAAACTCTTCATAGTTGGATTTTATGTTCTTAGAAACATTTCTGCTAAATAAATTTAGCAGTTAAAATTATGAGCGGAACACTGTGGCACACACCTGTAATCCCAATGACTCAGGAGGCTGAGGCAGGAGGACTGTGAGTTCAGAGCCAGCCTAAGCAACTTAACAAGGCACTTAACAACTCAACAAGACCCTGTCTCTGAATAAAGTATAAAAAAGGGCCAGGGGGACGGTATGGCTCAGTGGTTAAACACCATTGGGTTCAATCCCCTGCACCAAACAATAACAACAACAACAACAACAAAACCCAAAACAAAAAATTATGTTGCATAGGTTGATATATTGATTATTGTAATAGTTACATATTCTGTCAGCAAATTACACCAAAATTTTTATCTTAAAACATTTGTTATCACAGTTTATGCCCACTAGGAACCTGACGCTGGGGTGGCTGTTTGCTTCTGGTTTAAAGTCTCTCCCAAGGTTGTAGTCAAGCTGCCACCCAGCTGGGCTGCAGGCGTCTCAAGCCTTGATGAGGGCTAGGCTCATCATGGTTATTGGTAGGCCTCCCAGCACTCACATGGGTCTCCCCACAGAGCTGTTTCTGGATGTGGCTGCTGGCTTTTTCCTTGGCCAAAAGAGCTAAGCAAGAGGCTCAGTTTTTTATAACCCAATTTTGAAAATAGTATCACCTCTGCTATATTCTTTTGGTTGGAATTGTTTTTTGAGATTCAACACATAGTCAAGAGAAGGGATTATACAAGTGTATAAACATCAGAAGAGGAAAATTGTGGGTTGCTGCAGAGAAATGTGTCCACTTGCAAGCATGCACTCACACACATTGTTGTGGACTGAATAGTGCCCCCAAATTTACATGTGGAATTCCTAACCCCCAGTACCTCAGAATATAATTGTATTTGGAGAGAAAAAAATTTTTTAAGTATATATATTTTATTTATTTATTTTTATGTGGTGCTGAGGATCAAACCAAGTGCCTCACAAATGCAAGGCAAGCACTCTACCCCAGCCCTGAAGATAAATTTTTTTTTTTTATTGGTTGTTCACAACATTACAAAGCTCTTGACATATCATATTTCATACATTAGATTGAAGTGGGTTATGAACTCCCAATTTTACCCCAAATGCAGATTGCAGAATCACATCGGTTATAAATCCACAGTTTTACATAATGCCCAATTAGTAATTGTTGTATTCTGCTACCTTTCCTATCCCGTTCTATTTTTAAGGAGATGACTAAGTTAAAATGAAGTGGCTAGAGTGGGCCCTAATCTGACTAGTGTTGTGAGAAGAGGAAATTTGGACAACAGAGAGAGGTCACCAGGGATGCTTGAGCATAGAAAAAGACAATGTGAGGATACATCAAGAAGGTGGTTATCGTCTCTCATAGTGTCCCGTGCCAGAGCAAACCGTAGCCCTGAATCATTGCCTGGCCTCTGCCTTAGGCTGCTGGCAATGAAGAGGGTTGCACAGTGTAGAAAAGAGGAGAAAAGAAGACAAAAAAAAAAAAAAAAAAAAAAAAAGAAGGTGGTTATCTTCGAGCCAAGAAGAGAGGCCTCATAAGAAACCAAACCTGACACCTTGATCTTGGGTTTTTGGCCTCCAGAACTGTGAGAAGATGAATTTCATTTGGTAAAACCTTATCTAGTCTATGGCATTTTGTTATGTCAACTTTAACAAATTGATATGCATGTAATTTTATAATATTTTAAAAGAAAACATTTTTCATAATACTTAAATTTTACAGTAATCAGAATGTATCTTCTTTTTCCCCCTTTAAATCACAGGAACAGTGTTCCTTTAGTTGGGACTGGGGGCCTTCTTTTCCTACCCAAGGAATCTGGAAAGGTGTTAGAATTGAAGCCTATAATATTTGTCATCTGTATGACTTCACATTTGTCCCAATGTATGGTAAGTTAAGAATTGTAATTTCTTGTTTTTGTGTCTTCTCCTCTGTGTTATAAATATTGAGTTTGTAATTTGAATATATGTTTCAGAGACTTAATTTTTAAAAACACGTGGCACTGCCAATTTATAAACGTAAGACGTAAATACAAACTGATTTGTCAGAAAAATTGACAATATAAAGCAGGTAGGTAGGTAGATACCTTTAAGCATATTTTGCAAAAAAAGGAAGAAAAAAATGCAGAACATCTCTAATTCCTCCTGAGCTATGTCTTCTTTGTTGGAAGGATTGGGTGTGCTGGCTTGTACTCCTTTTTGCTGTCCCTGAGGTCACTTTCAGTCACTAGACCAGTTTTTTGTCACCGTACATTATCTCCATAACTCAGAGAGCACCTCTGAGGCCCTGACATGTAAGCCTTGTTAAGAGTTGAAAATGAACTGGAAGGCAGAGAAGACACAAAGAACATTTTGCAAAGTGAAGAAACTTCTTTTAGTTGAAAGAACTATTCCCTGTCAAGGAAGATTGAAATAAAACCCAGAAATCTCACAGAAGTCAGTGAATCAGTTAAAATTGGATCAAATATTTGTTGAGTTCTTTTCTGAACACTGTGTTTGTTTGGCATAGAAAAAAAATCGAGTACATCCAGTCATTCCTCAGGGTGCTGCACACTGGTTGGAGGAGAGGGGTAATATAAAAGATTACCAATCCATGGGCAGGGGTTGTGCTCAGTGGTACAGCACTTGCCCAGCATGTGTGAGGCATGATGGGATTCAAGTCTCAGCACCACATATAAATAAATAAAAAAAAATAAAGTTCCATTAACAACTATATATATATATATATACACATACACACACACACACATATACATATATATATAAAGAGGGATTTTAAAACTTGACTTGAAATTTTTGTGAATTAATTTACTTTGTGTGTATAATGTGTGTATGTGTATATATTTCTCTCTAATCTCAATCCTGATAATAACGGTTTCTAAACTTTCGTACTTTTCAATATCTTGTGACCATTTGTTTGATTTTTTTTTTCCCCTAACCTCAGCTTCCTAAATGATTTTTTACAAAGTTCTTCTTTATTTTTTTGCTTTTTTGCCATGCTGGGTGGGAATTGAATACAGGGCCTTGCAAATGCTAGGTAAATGCTCTATCACTGACCCATACCTCCAAACCCAATGTTCACATATTCTTAATGTTCAAGATGCTAAACAATAAAACAATTGTATTTGAAACTAATGCTGAGATCACAGTAAAGCAGGAGCCACTGATGTTTTTAGGGCTACTAAGATTTATCTGGGTTTTAAGATACCAGTGCACTGGTATAACTTTCTTCAAAACCCGATTAGCAGAGATTTATTTAAATGATTCATCCTTAGCCCTGAAATATTCTCATCAGGTTTTAAATAGCAGTAACTCTTGTAGGAAAAACCCTATTTTCGGTATAAAGAGTCACACTGGTATTGAAAAGGGAGGCCCAGATGCTTTGACCAGGTGTGACTCAGCAAACCTCTATTGATCTTTTTCCATGGAGTTTGGGGTGGGTGTTTCGGGAAAACCTACTGTGTGTGCTGAGGGAGGGGAAGGGGAAGTCTGGGCTGGACTTGGCTTACTGAGGTATGTGGGGAGGTAGGGGGGAATGTAACAGGGAAGGTGGATGCCTCAATTCTAAAGATTAGTACATTTATGAGAAAATGATCTGTGCCAAACTGTAGGCCTTTGGGTTTGATGGTGGTTTTTTTTGGTGTGTGTGTAAGAGAGACAGACAGATATTCATTATCCTTGCGAGTTGTTCCAGTTGGGCCATACATCTATTAGGGAGTGATGATTGCCTAATTTTGTGACCTTTTCATACTGTCATATAGACATAAATTAAAATATATAATTTGTTTTGTTGAAATACTCTGTCATTTAATCTTTTGTTCAGTTAGGAAAGCATGGAGATGTTTTTTCAACCTGTGAATTCCCTTGCTTTTGTAGTTCTTTCTGAGTTGGGGTGGCTGTGAATCTCTGACCCATACTTGGGACACTTTTACTTTGCCTGCCCTATCCAAATGTACGGCTGCCTCAGGACTCCTTCATTGTGGATGACCTAGCCTGTGAATTGCAGGAGTGAACTCCAGCACTCAGCTGGACCTCGCCCTGCACAATAGAGGTCTAGTTCAAGGGCATTGCTACCTTTTGCTTATAGCTTAACACAGAAAATATAATATTAAAATATAGCAAAGATTTGTTGGTTTTGTTTATTACCTTACTTGGTAAGCATTCATTCATTTTTTTTCATGCATTCCTTTTTTTTTATTCATCTCTGAATTACTTTTTTTCTAAAATAACACTCTTCTCCTTTGAAATTGCTGTATGGGTAGTCAGGTTGCTTGAATAATCTTTCCTCTGATTTATTAGTTGCCTTCTTGCTTAGGTACCTTTTCATCCCTGAAACATACTCCTGTTCTATTCCTTGTTTTGAAGGGGATTTTGCTTTGGGTCTTTTTGCCTTGATTTCATTTTCAGGGATTTTGTCCTGCTAAGTAGGCAGGGAGATCTTGCTGTTTGCTGAAGGGAGAGAAAACAGCTGCTGTAGCTAACCGTGAGCCTGCCTTTCGGTCAATTCAACTGATAACTCTTTAAAAAGCAGCTGCTTCTATCTGCCCTCTAATTCTAGCAGGAGTCCAGGAAAATAGCTTATATTTGAATTTACACGTTCTGCAACTTGGCCAATTCAGTATGGTGTCATTACTATTTCTTTAAATGCACAGTACTACTTTTTCCCTGTAGCTTTTCGTTTCCTATGAAAGATGCAGAAAGAAGGAGCAGGCAAAGGGGGGGGGGGGAGCCGCAGGAGCCCAGCAGGGCGAAGCTAATCAAGGCAGCTGTCTTTGAATAGCTTTTTCCTCCAATGAGATGAAGCATCTTTTTCATCTTACATAAGCAGACGTTTGCAGATTTTTCCCATGCCGACCTGAACATTCCCTGCCTCTGAACTTCCATTTCCCTGCTAGTCCTTAACCCCCCAGATGCCATCTGGTGTTCTTAACTGTGACCTTTGGATGTATTTTGTTTCTCTAAGTACATTTTCAGAGTTAGAGACAGCAGTTTTGCCTTTTTGGATTAGTTTGTAATATATAGTGTCTGTTAAGCTTTACAGATGTAACTATTCAAGAAATCTCTTTCACTGGTTTGACAGAAATGCCCACATAACTGTTTTTGTGCCCTGGTCAGTAGTTTAGGCTGCAAGGATGGTATTTTGAGGAGTGGAGGAGCTGAGGCACCACATAATTATACGTTCATTGGAGAGTCAGACACGTTCTGTGTTCCTAGACTCTAGTCTTCCTTACTTTTTTACAAAGATGCTCATTAAGAAGGTAATGTTTTATTGTTTTAATCCCTCCAAATGCTTTGTTTCACTTGGAATGTATTTATTTGCTTTTTGGAGTTGGAGTCTGAAGGGCTGATTCCCTTTGCTTTTATTCTTCCTTATCATTCATATACAAATTTCTGTCAGTGTGTACCTGCTAGCATCATTCTTTTCAATAGGTGCTCTCACTAGGCAGCTGTGAGCACTGGAGTCAGGAAACCTGGGGCCCTGTTCTCTCCTTGGCCTAGGAAACTTTGAGTTAGGACTGCACTTAGGGCTTCCACAACCTCATCTGCAAAGTGACTAGGACATCTCCAGGATTCTTTTATCTCTGCCTTTCCATGGATCTTTCCTTTCATTTAACTAGATGTACCAGTACAACTTAGTGAGAGTTTAAATGTGGAAGATCCCAATTTTCCCTGAAATTAGATATCATACAGCTAGATGAAGACATTGAAACTTGAGGATTTATTAAAATCATTAAAGCAATGCTTAAGATGTAGTTTGAGGGGGCTGCCATTGTAGCTTAGTGGTTAAGGGCTTGCCAAGCATATTTGAGGCACTGGGTTTAATCCTTGGCACCACATAAAAATGAATAAATAAAATAAAGGCAACAAAAAAAGTTGTATCTGTTTTAAAAATTATTAAAAATTATGTAGTTTGAAACCATGTCTTCCTGGTGCTTGTTTAAATACTTGTATGAAGGTAACTCAAACATCTTCTTGTTTTTCTAATTTCTATGTTTCATATATAATTTTTTTCTTCTAGACAGCTGAATAAAGCAGTTCCCCACCCCCTGTTCTTTCCTTTTTCCCATCACATATTTACAAAGAAGACAGTATAATAACATTCTTTGAAGAATTTAAAAGTCTAATGTATTAGACACAAACTAGAGATGTCTTAATGATCTGTGAATGAACAGCACACATTATTCTGGGCTGTGAACCTGCCTAGCCTTTCCTACAAATTCCCATCAGTCAGGGAACATGGTGCCCTACCTTCCTCGTTCCTTCTCTTCCTTACAAGAACCTCACTGAGTTGGCTCTTGGAAAAACTTAACATGAGTCAGTGGCCAGAACCACATTTCCTGCCATCCTCTGTGTTGACTTTCTGGTTGAAGTCACATGAACAAGCTATAAACCATATCTATTCACGGGCCCAGGATATCAGTAAGGACATATCTGAGCCTTCAGGAGGACCTCAAGTTGTAGAGAGGGCAAGCCAGCCTTGCCTGTCCTCCTGTTTTGGTAACGAGTGCCTGTCTCATTTGAGGCTCGGGTGTCAGGATGAGGAGGGGATACTATGCTTGGTGTAATTAGGAAGGATGAGCACGGTAGGGGACTCTGGATGATGTGACAGTCCTTCTTCCCTACCCCCAACCCCAGTACTGCTTTGGAAATGATCTTGTACTGTCTCCTCTTGGTATTTTCTTGCATGCACTTCAGGAGAGCTGAGGATGAATGGTAGGTTTTCCTTAGAAAATGGACTCTAGGAGAGCTATGCTAGGAAGGTGTATTCTAGACAAGGATCTTAATTTATAAGATTAAATAGAAATAAGATTATACATTTTTTAAGTTAGCAAGTAAAAAGAAGTGACCTAGTAATATTGAAAAAATTACTGGTTAACACTGTGCTCTGTGAACCTAAATTGCTTAATTTTCCATGTGCTTCTGGAAGAGTGGAGGTCTATATAAAATACACAAAATTTTGGTTATTGTTCAGAATGAAGAATTAAGCTCTATAGATCAAAATAACATTTCTATTGATTTTTTTTAAAAAAATGATATTGTTGTAGACTACTTAAGCTGCTTTGGTCTTCAGTGAATCCTGAGGAGTGAAGAGATGATGCTTAGCATATTGTATACATTTAAAAAATTTTTTCTCTTTATGCTTTAGACAACAAAGCCCAGATGTGGAAGCTTAACATACAGACATTTTTTGATGTCATCAGCCCAACCCCAGTTGGTGGTCAAATGATCATAGCCATCCCTGAATTAAAAATACAGAAGACAAACAACATTAAACTTCAACCTGGAAAAAGGACTGTTGAGCTGTCTGTGAAAATTAACAAGGTGAATGATGATGCTTCCTGCAAAGCCCTGGTTGAAAGTGAAAGCTGTTCAAAAGAAATGATTAGAAAGAAGGGTCCAAGTGTGAAAAAAAATTCTATTTTCTTCATTTGTTTTCTTTTTTCTTCCCATTTTATCCTCTATTTTAAAACCTTTTTATTACATTTTGTGAGAGTATGAACCAAGGAATATATATATATTTTTAATTTTAAGATTAAGAAAATGGAAAATATGTGATGAATTTGGCAATCTTTCCTCTCAAGTCAGTTACATTTGGATTTTTTTTCTGTAGTATTTGCAGTATCTTAAATCCAAAATACTTTCTACATTTTTAAGTGCAGTGAGTATTTTTTGTTACTTGTCAGTAATTTTGAATGCTGATGAGTATTCTGTATGTAGAATTCTAATTCTAAACTCATGATCTTTCTAATTCTAAACTCATGATCTTTCATTGGCAGGAGTGGGATGGATTTTACCCCTCCCCCACTTTCTATTCCTCTGATTGATAAATATGAACTGGAAAAGATGGAGCAAAATCACCTTCTGTAACTATTTAGATAAAGTCAGAACTCCACATAATTTCTAGTTCTTGTCTTGAAAGAACAGTTAACTTCAAAGTCCAAGTCCAAGTGTTAAGAACGTAGGATAAGTGTCAACTGGAGAGTTAGAGGTAGGAGGGGTTGTTTTTCTGAACATTCATGTTTCTCTGTTCTTTCCCTTCCCTTTTGGTGTGTTAATCTGTGCTAATCTTCTAGCACATTGATTTTTTAAAAAATATTTTTT